CTGTGACGTAAAACATTGTGTCAAAATGGTTTTTTTTAGCGATTTGAAAAAGCTCAGAAAATCAATTTGATCAACCAAAAAATCCGCTCCTCCCTCCTGAGAAAACCCTGGATCCACCCCCTCAGTGCGTTCATCAGTAGTAACGAATCTAAGCAAAATCGACTTTTGTTATCAAAAATTACTGGTTAATAAAATTTACTGGTTTTCCTCCTCGTTTACATCAAGTTGTTTCTGTACTAATTGCAGCTAGCATTTTTTCCATTCCTACGGCGAAACACTTTAGACAGCTATTCCAGCGGTCACTGGTTTTCAACGCTGGTTTTCTGAGACCTTTTTGTGCTATTCACAACTAAAATTTCTCGGAGTGTCTCCGATGACCTATTTTAAGCAAAAAAAACTACACTATTTTTTGTCGTGAATTTTGGGGCGGTTCGCTTCGTATAATCACTTATGATAATTCTGTGCTGTCTTTGGCAGCAGAATGCACCTTCACCACTTGAAGTCACCACTTGTTCACTTGTTGAAGCAGTCACGTAAACTTAGTTTTCTCCTTGCTAATGGTCTTTAGTACTTATTTCCGAGCCTTCCACAAATTAGTTCCTTACGCTGAACCAGTTTCTAATGATTTTATCGTCGTGGTACTCGAGCTGCCTAAATTGAAGTCGTCAACAGTTCTTGTTTTTGCAGCTTCCACGACAGAACAGTCGCTAATAAAACTTCTTCTTGTGTGCTTCAGGAATTACTTTCTCTATTTTCCGACACTAATTGGTTCTGTGCTGATTGCCACTAGTACCTGATTTCATGTGATAGGCAACAAAATTTCTTCAAATTGTTCAGTAGTCAATGGTTTTCTGGTAATGCTCGGGATAATTTTGTGGTACAAATTTTTCTCAAATCAATCATTTGACTCTTCTAGTCCTTTCTTCTATTCGCCACTTGTACTTAATAATTTTTCACGGGTGTATTTAGACAACCGCGTATTCATACTCGCCAGTAAGCATAAAAATACTATATAAACCAATCAGAATCGAGATAAGAGAGCACAATTACGAAATGAAGAATTATTTATTAATAATTTCTTTCTTCACTCGATTCTGGTTAAATGCTATTTGTCTGCTTACTGACGCGTATGAATACACGGCGGTTGTCTAAATACTGCAACGTAGCCTTTTTCACGACACAATTCCATCAACATAATCACACGTTTCTGGTTTTCAGCCTCGGTTTTCTCAATAAACCTTGGTGAAAAACCTCATTCGCTCTTTTTTCAGTGTTTTTGGGGCAGTTTTCAATAAAAGTGACAAAACCATCACCAAAAAACTGGACTATTCGACGCATTTTGACTATACTAAAGGCTGCAAATTGTTACACAGCGGCGAAGTTGCACTTCGCATACACGAGCAAAGTATGACCGATAACGCTACTGGGGAAAACTGAATGAGCCAAACTAAACTTTGAGTCCGCAAAATTTCTTAAGTGACCCGCGCGAATTATGAGTCTACCTATTTGCTAAGTGTCGCAAGCCATTTAGGCTATTTTTCCTTTTCCCCCACCTGCAAATTTTTTTAGTTAAAATTATTGTTCACAGTGTTCGATTGTCATCAAAATTGACATGCAGACTAATTAGGCTAAGTCAAACATATTTGGTCTTCATAATTAACCTTGTAAAACCACACTTGTTAGACCATAAAATTGATGCTTGTTTGAGGTGGGAGGGAAAAGGAAAAAAGCCGCCAATTATGACGCTTTAACACTACCAGTCAATTTGAAAAAAAAAAGAAAATTACTAAACAACATGCCACAATCTATAGAGCGGACGCATTTTATTTAGTATACAAAAAAAGTTAATTAGAAAAAATTCGACCCTGCCCAGGCCGAACTCGCTTATTTTATTGCGGGTCTCCTTCCCTAACTCAACGCTACATATCCATGATACTTGAAGCTAAAGTGCTATTTGTATTATAATAATCTGTCTTAATATCCTTAGCATTGACTGTACTTAATAGCTTGCTATTAATCAAAAAGAATACTTTCAAAATGAACACATTTTGTCGCAAATATGTTTGAGTCACAGCAATATTTGCAATTTAGGCTGGATAAAAAAGAGAGTTAATACTGAAACACAAGCGTTGATTGTGTAAAAAGGCAGCTTGGAAAATGAAGAGTTATTGCCAAAACAGTATCGTACCCGCCTTAACGTGAGCTAGATTCCCAAACGTAAGTGAGCAGCTGAATAAATTCTTCACAAAAAGGCGACAATCATTCGGTTTGTTTCTAAATTCTTCCCTCTCTTTTCTATTTAAGATCAAAACATTGTATCAAAACTGGAGCAACTCAATTCAAATGACATTGTCAAATTTTTCTTACCAAACTTTATGGGTGATAAAAACAACCTTAAACAAATTAATTCAACCGAAACTAAAACTAGCTTCACTAATACTTGGCAAAAACACTGAGCTCCCCTCATTGTATTCATATACTTTAATATGTCATTTTCAATGCTAATTTTGGTTCAAAGCTGATTTTGGTTTCATTCAGTTTTAAGTTCTGACTGCAAAAAAGGAACTTATTGTGAGCTTCCAAAATTTCAAATTTCATTTGTCACATTAACACAAATAAGTTTTGCTATAACTACTTCGTCTTTTAGTTTTCAGGAAAACATTCGAACATTTTTTATTACAATGGTTTTCAACAATCAACACATGTTGTTATTTTTAAGAAACGAAGTATAAAATTGAGAAAAAGGGCTTTGCTTTCAATCAACCAGTAGTATAACGAACGTAAACTCAAAAGTTGTTTTGAGAAAAAAAAGGCAATTTTTTGGACTTCAGAGTGAAAAATAAATGACCTCAAAAACTCTTCAAGTTTTAAGAGGAATTTATGATTGGCACTTTTTGTACAAATTTACTTAATATGAGAAAACTGTCTCGGCAAGTATAGCTTTTATTCCGCTGGAAATTATAAAATTCAAATTCCACAACCGAAAATAGAAGTTAATCTCGTTTTTTCTGACTTTACACTTTTGCTCTTCGATAGTGGAGTTTGCCTGCACTTAGGACAAAAAAATTGAAATTGAAAAGAAATTAAACCGCTAGAAACTTGAGCGTGAACAAACTTCACGACTTTTTACAAAAAAAAGCCTCATGCCATATATAAAAGTCTGAACTGTGTTAACCGACTCTAAATAATAAAACTTTTGCTACGTATTGCATTCAAACCTGCGAACTCGAGAGTTTTGGAGTCTCACGCTGTTGCATCTTCGCCACAGGTCATTAAAAATTTTGATAGCAATAGCTATCCATACAGCGGCGAAAGATGCTAACAAATTGCAAATTCTCTCAAGCAAAAAAGCATCCAAATTTAAAAAATTCAGGCAACCAAAACAATGTTTGTTGTAATACACTGGGAAAATTTTGTGACCAATTGAAATCCTAAAATCGATTAGTGTAAATATTAGGCAGTTCGAAATTCTCGCGAAATTATTTAAGCTGAAAAGATCTGAATGTTTTAAATCATTGAACTGTTGAAAATTATTTTCGTTTCAATTGAGTTAAATTAATATTAATTGAATATCGAAGCAAAGGCTACTACACTGTCATTGCTGCCTGCTGCAATAGTGCCACCAAATGGCAGTAGCAGTTATGTTTTCGACTTAGGTTGGAAAAAAGTAATCTCATACTTGAAGTAACTCACTAGGCTCCGATTGTCTAAAATTTTTATATGAACTTGGCTTTGATAATTTTTTCGAGAAAAACTTTTTGATTGAATGTGATAAAAAAAAATCAGTTCAATTCAAACTAACTGGCTATAGACTAAACAACGATCAAATGACACTACCTTACCTTTATCTGAATTTAATTTCATTTAGCTTATTTTACTGGGATGAAGAAAACAGGCATCTGAAGTCGGTGCGATTCCACTTGATAGAATTTTCCAATAAGCTAAGCATGCCACATCTGCAGTAAGCTGCAAGTCACTCGGTTGAGAATGAATGGCTATTGTAAAATTTCAGAAAAAGTTTTCCAAGTCAAGGAAAAAACTGTTCTGAACTTTTCTGTTTCCAATCTATCTTCCTTGCCCTTTTCAGCAAAACTGCTCGTATCAGAGTGAGGTTCCGAAAGTTACCTCTTCAAAGTGCCTGAATTATTTACCACAGAGGCGGAGCTTCCTTCACTTCTCAAAAAATTAACTCGCCAAAGTATAACATTGAGTGCGAACAAATTTCCAAACCCACAAATCTGTTGTTGCCAAGCCTTCGATTGCTACTTTAGAACAATGAAAATTGGAAGTTCTGGAAACAGCCGATGTGTTTAAGGGTCAGATTATCCAAAAAACAAACAAGACCCAAATAAGTATTGCAACACTTCCTTTGCTATTTCGTTGTTAAGCTGTTTCAAATCTCTGATCGAAATTCAATTGCCAGAAATACATTAATTCAGATCATTATAATACGAAAATAGAAAAACTTTCCAAATCATCAAATATGAATATAGCTCTATTGACTCTATCAAAGCTCTATTGAGCTCTATCAAAACAAAAATATATGCTAAATTAACTATATATAAATCAACAAAGTAACTAAATAACCTGTAAAAGTTGTTCACACAATAATCCAAAATATCCAGCCGTCAAAAAGAAATGAGAATATTTATGAAAGAACAGTTAGATTCTAAACTAAGTAGTCAGTATTCAAATGTTTATTTAATCTACGGTATATTTTCTATATATTCGATCTTCTCGAATGAATAAAAAACATTCAGTATTTATACTAATCACAAAATAGAATAACAGCAAGAAGACCGTAAACATATAATCATCCAAACAATTTTTATGCAAATGCCCACAAAAGTAGCTTTATTTAAATCTATTTTACTTTCAAGAGACTCTCTTGCAGTTAACTTTTGTGCTCTTTTTACACCCCCTCCATGTTAAAAGCTACTATAGAAATTCTGATCACGTTTGAAAAGTGAAAAAAACTTTGAATATCTGAACAGACTTGGTCTCTACATACAACCTTGAAAAAAAACACTAGTTACAGCATCAAAATGTTTTTTTTCTTAAATAAAAAAGGAGGGCCGAGGAAAAAGAGCCCATTGTTGATATTATCCCTTGAGTAAACATGTGTCAGTGGTATTTCGCCTCTGACAAGTTTTTAAAGCCGAGATGCTTGCACCGCTTGAGTCCGATCCTCGATTCTCGTCCTCTCTCGGATCCAAGAACAACGACAACAACCTGTAAAAGACAGTTGTAAGAGTCAATGATCGCAAGTTAACAAAAAATACGGACTTAATTGTTTGAAAAAACCTCAACTTCCGAATTTCAACGAAAAAATAGATGGAAGCTCTTTGAAATTCTAGATTAAATTATGGCTGACACTTTTTTAGGAATCTTAAAATTAAAATCCACATTCGAAACTAAAAGTCGATCACGTTTTTACACTTTTGCTGATCGATAGTGGATTTTGCCTTCCTTTTAACAAAGCAAAAGAACTGAACTTAAAAAAATCATAAATCAAACCGCAAAAAATAATTTTGAGCCTGAACAAAGACTTTTTCCTGAAAAAAACAAGCAAAAAATTCGCCAAGAACTGTATAAGAGCATTCACTACGTTCATGAAACTTAATCATTCATCTACAAAGGAGAGACCAAAATAGAGGTGTTCACCTCTTTAATGAAAACCACTTACCACTGTTGAGCCTAATTTAGCCAGCCGTACATCCATTTTTTGTTATCTTTCAGGGCTGAATAAATTAACTCACCGTTCAATGCATACTAAGTTAAATTTAACCAAGCCTTTTAGGCAAAGCGCGTCGACCAAAATCTTTGGTTTTTCATCGAACCAAAAACGCAAAGAAGCATTTGATGTCTGTCCAAATTCTCAAAATTTGTTATTAACTATAAGAGATCTAATTAAATAAATAGCAAATTTTGAGACTTGTCATCGGCAGTTGTTTCCTGGGAGCCAATACGTCGCTCCAGTGTCGAGGTGTAGCTGCTACTACTACTAGTCGTGATCTTTCTCTGGGGCGGCAGTGTATTTCGTCTGTCGGATTCTGACGCGTGTGACGAGAAGAGCGGAAGCGTGAATGAAGAGTTTGATGAGTCATGGAGTTTGATCAGATCCGTACAAGCGTCTAACTCTACCGTCCATTTGTCCACGTGCTCGCCGGCTTCAAATCGATAAGTCTTGCCTGCAATTAACAGTGACTCACAATTCTGGTTTTTCAACCAATCAAAATTAAGCAGATTTCTTTGTTTTCAACCAATTAAATTTGTGCAAACTTGGTTGCTCAACCAGCTAGATGATTTAATTTGTGGATAATTTAACTCAAATAGCCCTCTAAATAGCTCGAACAAAAATTTTGCCTTTTGACAGTGGAAAACGCCTTGCTTTTTGACAGTGGAGAACAAGGAAATTAAAAGTCACCGAAAACCAAAAGTGAGCTTAAAAAGAGTTAAACCACGAAAAAGTAATTCCAGCCTGAAAAAATTCTAAAAAAATTTCCTGAAAAAGATCATCACGACCTATATCAGTTAAGTCTTCACAACGTTCGTCGACTCATCATCAATAAATCATCATTAAATCGGTTAAAACATGCCGAGAGAGGCATCTCCATGAAAAATCGGAACATAGTTGTTTACTTTTAAAATTGATTTATAGTTCCACTTAATAAATATACTTGTATTTTCAGCTAATGAAATAAACTCTAGTTAAGGAAATAAAGGACATGATTGGGAAATGATACTTCAAAAAACATTTTTTCAGTTTAGATCGCGTTGAGTAATTGACAATTTTGATCTCCATACTCGAAGTAAATAGATTTATCTTTCTGGTTCAACTTGATGAAACTCAATTTTAATCTTTTTACTTGATGACACACTGTGACGAGGCACCATTACGAGACAATTTTATGATAGCCTCAAATATTAGCAAGTCCTTCGCAGTTATGTAGCAGTAGCCTTAGGATTACTTTGCTTCGTTTGGGATAAAACTTTTGCTGAGTTTGATTTGTGGACGAAAATATCTGGAATGAATTGTCTGCAAAAATTTTGACTGGGCACGATCAAAACACGCTTAATATATCTTATTAAAAACAAGAAATTTTATTGACTTAATTCAAACGGAACTAATTTACTTTCAACATTAACAAGCTTATGATCAACTTTCGAAACCAAATTATGATGAGCACTGTTTTGATTAAAAAAACCTAATTTGAGAAAACTGGATCCCAGATAAATTTTTTATTTCGCTGGGAAATCTAAATTTTTATTTCGCTGGGAAACAATTTCATTTTCGAAAATAGAAGTCGATCAGGTTTTCCATTTCCTTCACAATTTTGCTGTTCGACAGTGGAAAACGAATTGCTTCAACAAGGAAATGAAAAGTCATCGAAAACCAAAAATCAAAAGTGAGCTTAACAAGAGTTAAGCCATGAAAAAGTAATTCTAGCCTGAACAAGTTTAAAGACAATTTCCTGAAAAAAAAACATCACAAGTACAATCGTCGACTCTTCTCTTCATAAAAAATCGTAACATAAATGTTAAATTTAAAAAAAAACTTTATAATTACACTTCATAATTGAACTTTTAATTTCAGTTAATGAAATTAACTCTAGTTAATGAAGTAAAGAACAATATCAGGAAATGATACTTCAAAAAAAAAAACATTTTTAAGTTCAGATCGCATTAGGTGAATGACAATTGAGATCAATATACTCGATGTTTAGTGGCTCTATCTTTCTGGTTCAACTTTGTTACAATCAATTTTAGTCATTTTTACTTGAGGAGACACTATAAAGAGACAGTACCATGATAACCTTGAATGTTACCAAGTCCTTGGCAGTTATGTATAAGTAGCCTTAGGCTTACTTTGCCTCGTTCGGTTCGCTGAGATAATTAATTGGACTAAATTATCTGGAAAGACTTGTCTGCGAAATTTTTGGTTGCGCACGATCAAAACACGCTTAATATATCTCATAAAAAACAATAAGTATAATTGACATAATTCAAATGGAACTATTTTACTTTCAAAATAAACAACGTTATGATGAACTTTCGAAACCAAGTTATGACAAGCATTTTTTTGATAAAACAACCCAATTTGAGAAAACTGGATCAATAGATAAATTTTTTATTTCTCTGGAAATTCTAAATTTTTATTCGCTGGGGAATTAAACTCCATTTTCGAAACTAGAATTCGATAACGTTTTTCGTACATTTACACCTCTAAACTTTTGCTGTTCGATACCGGAGTTTGCCTTCCTTTCAACAATGGAACTGAACTGAACTTCCCTCATTCAAATGAACGAGAGTACTGAAAATAAACGATTGACAACCTACCAAGCACCGTCAAAAAAATCAAGAACACGGACAATCAAGCAATCAAACCGTGTCAGTAGCCCGTTTGTGCAGCATACGAACTAAGAACAACAACTGAACTTAAAAAGAAACCAAAAGTCAAAAATGTCTGTTTGTTACTTTCTGTACTCAAAAATTTCGAAATCAATCTTTTTGCAATGAAGGCGTGAAAAACTTACCAAGAGAGTCTGACGTGAGGATGAAGCTCTTGGCGCCATGTCTAAGTACATACCATCCATCTGTGGACAGATCTATCCTCTTAGTGGGGTGTTTGTGATAGCGGTCCGACTCTTTACCCCCTGGCACATGGATGGTCTTGTGCGAATAGAAGGACAACACTCCTTCGTCATTTAGGCTAACCCAACACTTCTTCCAGTAGCCCAACTGAAAAATAAACAAACTTTCACAACAACTCGAGATTTTAGTTTTTCTACGCTAAATGAGGCACCCTAAAATCGACGAATGAGTGAAAAGTAAACAACTAATTATTATTGTTCCGGCAGGAAATTGACTTTGTTTACCCCAGGAGATTTGGCCAGAACTGAAGATTTCAATTTTTTTTACGTTTCAAGACATTTATGGCTCAAATACGATTAAAATGTCAAAAAATTGACATTTCCAAAGTCGATACTGACACCTATGAAAATTAGGCATGTTCATGTTAAAACTATCAAAATTAGGCATACTCCTGCTATAAACCGCATATTCAAGATAGAACACAGCAACCTGTTTTTTCGATTGACATTTCGAATGGTCCTTTTCGAGTTAAGTTTTTTAAAGTGTCTCAAAAGAACCCAATCCCAAACATTTTTATATACCTATTTTTTAAACAAGAACTTTTTGAGAAAACGAGCCAAAAACACCTTTGTAGATTTTGCCCACAAAAAATGTTCTTCAGCACGCACGTTCCCTTCGAATATTCATCGGCACCAAAAGCGGCTTTAGAAAATCTTTGAAGTTAATTGACTAAAAATGGATGCCGTTGAATAGTATCATAGTTTTTGTGAGATGTAAGCTTTCTTGCATAACGGATAGACTTACCCGGTTGCGTTTGCCCTTGTTCAGAATTAGTTTTTTCTTCAGGGATCCCGAAAACTTCTCCCCTTCCTTCACGTCTTCATCTGAGAACAAAGAGGACGGACGCAATCTCAGAAGTTCTCTAAAACATACAAAACACATTGATAATATAAAAAACGAAAACTAATTAAAATGCCAAAAACTCAAATCTGAAAGCCAATTTATTCTAAAACCTGAGATCATATGATACTAAAGCTGAAAAGTAAATAAAATTTCTGAATCTACACACATTTCTCCCCTAACGTTTTACACAGGAAGTGGCGTGATAAATGGGGGACAAAATGTGGCATATGTGACTCACATATTACTGTTGAGAGACAATTCGGCTTCTTTTGAGTCGGATGAGAAGTAGGTGGAAGAGAAGTCTAGAGTCTCGGCCGGGTTGCCCGCTACAACTCCCGCCATCTTCCGTCTTCTTGCATCATAAAACAGGTCTTCAATGCTCTCGCGTGTATCTTCTGCGTCACTTTCGTGTTCCTGTGAGTTAAATTAAAGGCTTTTATTAAATAATTAAAACATTTCGGTCCACTCTAAAAGGATGTGAAGTGAACTTCTTTTAAATTACAACACAATTGCTCAAACTTAGCCAACTGAACGCAATTATACAGAGAAAAATACTGAGCTGTTTTTCGAAAAATATCTACTTTCGATTTTCAAAAAACATAGCCAACACAGTTGGAAAACAGCCAAATGAACGCAAAAAAAATTAGATGACCTTTAAGCTCTTTGAATTTCTAGAACAAGTTATGACTGGCACTTAATTGAGAAAACTGGATCAATAGGTAAATAGATGAAAATTAAATTCCACTTTTGAAACTACATGTCGATCACTATTTTCGTGACCTTTACACTTTCGCTGTTCGATAACGGAATTTCCATTTCTTTTAAAAAGTAAATGAACTGAACTTAGAAAAAATCAAAAGTCAAACTGCGAAAAATCAAAACTAAACGTGAACAAATTTTAAGACCAAAAAATCACCAAGACCTATATAACAAAACTCAGTACGTTCATTGCTCTTAAAAAACTTTAAAAAATCATCCCGACCTATTTAAATGTGTTCACTGGGTTCATCGACACAAAATGATCGAAAACGAATTTTTTCCTCCAATATTCAAATTTGCTCAAAATGTACGCACAAGAAGCACTCTAGCAAAATATATAATCTGCTTTGTACAGTCCAACATTTCAGGCGAAACAAATTTATATTCAGACATCTAATACAAGTCTTTACGTAAAAAATGAATGTATCACCTTTCGTGTTGTGCTAGTCCGAGTAACTTCATTGTCGTTGATATCTGTGGAGTTGAGAAGCAAATGATCGTCCGATAAAGATCCAGATCGCTTCTTTCTGTGATGACTTCTAGCCGAAGTGTTCGGATTCGCACTGGAAGGTGGTATTGGTGATGCAAAAAGAGGTGTAAGTGTTTTCACTACAGATGTCAGTTTGTTCATGCCGCCAGCACTTCCTAATGAGCCCCGACCGCCGGAGAAACCCCCCGACGCGACACCTGGGGGGGTTTCGACTGGCAGAGGGTTGTCAAAACCAACTCGATGTGAAGGTTCATCGTCGAATGGATTGGAAGACGAAAGACCGTAAGCAGTGCTGTTGTAACTAAAACACGCAAATGGTTCAAAAGGGTTCTTTTTATTATGGTCCAAAAAGTTTCAGGCACTTCATTCATTATGGACACATAAAGAAGCGCTAAGCATGATGAATTTGATTACATACACCAAACAAAATGAAAATTCAACCATATTTTGTTTAAAGCACACCTCAACATAATACATGTTATTTTGAGCTGCTTAAGTCATTGAATTGAGTTATTTTTATCGCTGTCGTTATTTCTTATTGAATCAAGCAATCTTTTTAAGCGTGATTACAATTGCAATATCAGCACTGAGCAGGACTGTAATTTGGTCCGCATAAATTACTTACTTAGATGTCTTGTTCACACAGGAATAAAAAGACATGCATGAAACTGGCAAGGCCCTAAAAAGGGTAGAAACAATTACTACAGTTACAAATACGGGGGGTCAAATACAGTTTCATCTGTATTTTGAATACCACAAATTATCACTAATCCCATTTTTTAAACCAACAATTGGGTAATTGTACACCAGTATGAGAAAAACAACTCGAATTTTTTGTTGGAAAAAATCTTTCAGCAAAATCACATGCATCAATCACCTCCTGTTCTGTTATCGAGCTGACTTCTCACTTTTTCATGTCTAATTTTCATTACTTGCACAACTTTCAAAGTTCCACTAGAGACAATATTGGTAATAGAGGTTAATTGTCAACAAATGAGAGGCTTAACATACCAACTGCACAGCTTATTACTGATATCCGCTCTTGCATACATAATTTTTTCACAAACTTATTTCAAAAAAGATTAGTTTGCAGCCAACTTGGTCGATAGTGAATGACGGAAGCTGACAACTGTATCAGGTGTTATTGGCAACTTACCCTCCCACACTTTTGCTCTTCCTGTGACCTCTGCCTGAGGGCGGCAGTCCAACCACCTTTTCTTTGCCCCCGTTCGAACTGCCCACCAGTCCAAACTGAATTGAACCTGACACGCCATTTCGCGAATGATAATTTGAGTTGCTCGTGTGGGCTGAATTTGTAGAGGTAGGCGGGGGGTGCATAGAACAGTATGAGTTTGATGTACCGTTTGGAGTCTGGGGACGAGGGGGTTGATTGCACGAAGTTTTCCCAGACGGCGATGAAGTGAATAATGCTGAAAGCAATACAGTTTTACAAAACCCTTTACGAAAACATAATTCCTTCAGTAAATAGGATCTTTCAAAAACACGTTTTATATGAAACATCTCTAATTTTAACGATACTTCAATTATTGAATCCATTCATTTGGCAATACGCAGAAAAAATTCGCAAATGTCAAAAAAAACAACGTCTATCCAAATGAATAAAGCTAGTTTTGAAAACAAAACACGCCAAGAGAATAAAATGTAAAATAAGCATCGAAAGAAACATTATCAAGCGGCAACAAAGCCGAAAATACCTTAGCAGAAACCCTTTAAGCGGAAAAAAATCAAAATAATGAATTAAGTCCCCCTTACCCTCAGACACACATACACAAATTTTTATCGCGCGTCAAATGGAACAATATGAGGCCACTAAGCCTTAGCCGAGTCAGCCAAAAAAAAGGAAAATAAAAAAGCCAAAAAAATTGGGACTAATAAAAAATTATCAAGTCCCCCCCCCCCACCCTAAAAACACAGAGATCGTCGAATGACGCAAAATGAGGCCACTAAGCCAATATAATATAGACTGAAACCTATTTAGTCGAAAAAAAAGAAAAAAAAACAAAAGACAAAAAAATCAACCAAATTTAAGACTAATAAAAAGTTATTAAATCCCTCTCACCCTAAAAATACAAAAAATCCCACAAAAAAACTTTTTCGCTTGTCGAAAGCTGCAAAGAGAGGCCACTAGACTGATATAACACAGGCCAAAACCTGTAAGCCCGAAAAATAAAAAAAGCCGAAAAAATTCAAAAAATTGAAGACTACCCAAAGGTTATTCAGCCCCTCTCGCCTTCAAAACACATGCAAAAAAAACTTTATTGCTCGTCGAAAGATATGACGCAATATGAGGACACAAAGTCGATATAATATAGGCCGAAACCTATCTAGCCGAAAAAAGGAAAAGAAACAAACATGAAAATTTAACAAATCGAGTAGGTAAAATTGCAACCAAGGTGAAAATATTGTTTCGAATCAGAGAGATAACTTCTATTTAAAATTAGAACTTCTATAAGAGAGAGAAAATAGTATTTCGAATAAGAGAGATAAAGGCTATTTAAAATTAGAACTGAAAAATCTTGCCCAGCATACAATGTAATGAAAACTCAGTAAACCCGCAAATGGGTGAAAATAAACCGAATTTAACGAAAAATATCACCTGAATTCGGCAAACTTCTTTGGCAAATTGCAAAAAGAATGGATTCAATATATTAAGTATCGATGAAATGAGAGATAATTAAAAAAAAAACGTTTTTGAAACAACATGTATAACACAGAGGCGAAACGGAGATTCGCGCAACTTGCGATACATCACAAACATAGCGTGGCAAGCTATTCGACAAACAATGAGACGAAAACCATTAAGTAAAAAATTACGAACAAAAACTAAATTTACCAAACTTTTCATACGTTTTGCTAAATGTCTTGACTAAGTTCCTTTTAAGGAAAACCTGTCAAGAAATAAAACAGCCAGCATTGATGCAAAAAATTAAGAAGCAGTAACTAAACCGAGTAAACTTACGGAAAAGCCCGTTGAACAAAAAATTGTAGACATGAACAAAATTTGAGACAAAAAAAATAATTTAATAGTACAATATTACAAAGAGTCCCATAAAATTTGATTTTCGATTCAGTTATGATGTAAAGGAAAAGATTTTATCACTGTTTTTGCATAAGCAGGGCTGGGTCTGTAAAGCAATGATCTAAATTCCTGTCTCCTCCTAGCCTCTTCAATTTTACATTTTAAATATACATTTGCGGGGAAAACTACAGATAGTGAAAAAAAATCCGACTGCAGTTTCGAATAAATACAACAAAATGATATCTTAAAAACATCATTTAACCGGAAAATTAGATTTTTTTTACCATTTAAAAAATGAGCACAAATTCTTTGCATCAACCAATAAACATGGCCAACGGACAGCTGGAAAAGTGTCAACATTCAAGGAGGCCAGAAAAATGACGAACTTCGTAAAAATTCGTAGTTTTCGAGCTTTGAAGAAAAAACCTACCACCTTGAGGCTCTTTAAATTTCAAAATCTTTTATGATTGACCTTTTTCTGATAAATCTGAACCAGTTTCAGTACTCTGAATCAATGAGACAAATTTTTCATTCCGCTGGGTAATCTGTAAACGAGGTGAATCAGAGCTTCGCACCACTTGCGATACAGTACAAATGTACCATAAAAACTAGCCGACAGAAACTGAAACGATCGAACTTAAGAAATCAGATGAGCTTAGAAAATCAAATTTGAGCATTAATAACTTTTGAGATGTTCTACTTAAAAAGCTTGCCGACAGAGTTGGAAAAATTTGCGAAGAAAAAAATTGTTTCTTTTTTTGAAAAACTTTCAACTTTCGAGTTTCAAAGAAAAAATTGGACTTTAAGCTCTTTGAATTTCTAGAACAATTTATGATTAGCACTTTTTCGATAAAATCGACCCAATTTGAGAAAACTGGATCAATAGGTAAATTATTTTGTTGACTGGGAAATCTGAACATTGAATTCCACTTTCGAAACTAGGAGTCGATCTTTGCTGCTCGATTGCGGAGTTTGCCTTCATTTTATCAAAAAGGAAATGAAGTGATATTCAAGATAAATCAAAAGCCAAACCACTTAAAATCAAAACTGAGCGTGAACAAATTTGAAGGTTTTCTTGAAAAAATGAAATTACCCAGACCTTAAGAGTCTTCACTACGTTCATTACTCTTAAAAAAGCATAGCTAACAACTGCATCGTTCATTTTGGCACATAGTTAACAACTAGAAGAAATCTGACCCATCTTAAATCTTTTTGTTTTCGCAAAGGAAACAAATGTAGCTCTCAAAACTGGGGCAGCAAAAAAGACATTTTGATTTAACTTCTAAAATCTGTAAACAATTGCAATGATATGACATCAAATCGCATGACAATTTAGAGATTTTACATAAAACAAGCAGACGCCACAGAAAATGACAACTATTAAAATAGCATGACTTGGTTAGAGGTCAGCCAAAATGACAAACCATACCAACAAGCACGCCAATTTAGAACGAAGTTGTTTCATGAAAGACTCTTAGTCTCAATTTTGTTAATCAGCTGAGAGAACTGTTCAAATTCAATCGACATTCTCTGACACATTCAGTAAATATCAGTTAGTCTTCATGACCAATCTATGTGTACACTGCAATATAATTGTCGTTTCTCAGTGACTCAGTTAAAGAAGATAGACTTGGGGGCAAGGACGTGCCCATGTATCTTGATAGTTAAATACCAAAAATACTTTCTTAAAAAAGGAATTACAGCCACGCTTGTACTTTTATTTAAAAAGGATTGGACAAATTTTTTGCACAAACATTACCAACATGTAGGTTCTAGTTCCAGGGATCTCTTATACTGGTCTGCTTCGCATATCTTGACCAGTTCCTCCAGACAGGTGTTGGATTTGATTGAGTTCAGAATCTGCGGGTTTTGCTCAAAATCTAAACAAAACAAGCCGTGCAATCAACTACTTATGAAACAAAATAGCCGGTTGCAGCCAAAAGAAATTTTTGACAAAGAGGCGAAGCGCATTACTTGCAATATAATTTAAGCTAAGCATTAAAAGATAGATAATATAAAATAAGACGGATATAACTAGGTCAAACAATAAATGGTTGAAAAAAATCAGAATTTTATGGGGTGAGAAAATTGAAAATTCAATCTCCGAAAAACAGACGAGAAACCCAACTACCAGCAGTGAATAAGCTATCATTTTTTATCGAGCAGCCACTAGGCCGACAATACGTGAGTAGACGCCCATTGACCCGAAAACATAGAAATGCATTAATATAGTCATAGCATTTTTTTTCAGCAATTAAGGTTTTTAAGTTTTACACCACCAACGACCTGGAAAACAAAACTAGTTTTTCGAAACATTGACAAAGCCGATAAAACATAATCAGAAGCATTTAGGCAAAAAAATACCAAGCCAGGTATCACAAATTAGAGGAGTAAATCAACAAAAATTTTCAACTACAATGAAAATTGCTTTAAAAAGCAAATCAATCAGTGATACGACATGTTAGCCGCCAAAAGATAAGCAGACAAACTAAAACCGATAATTCAATTCCAGGGAACAATTCAGTTTCGTACGTGATGAAAAAAAAATAAGGCCCGGCCGGGACTCATCCCAAACATTAGGAAGCAATCGCGTTGCCTCTGGGCCAAAATAGAAGTATCCTGGATATTGCAAAGGTTCAACACAGAGGAGAAAACACAATAAATACATGATAGTGAACAAAAAAGACAGCCAAAAAAACTTCTGAAAAATTAAAAAAAAAATTACTTGAAAAATAAAATTTGGAAAGTTGACAAAATGCAGCAACTAAAACTTCATGGTAGCATAGTATGAATTTCATAAACAGCCTTAAAAACAATTGGAAAACATTTACTGAGTGTCAAAAAATTTTGGGTCGTCACCTGTTGAGCCGAAAACAAAACTGTAGTCACAAAAAAATTCATTAAGTTTTAAGTTTTTACGAAATATCCATTCTGAAACACAATCACATGCAATTATAATTGCCCTCAAATCACGCAATATAAATTGACTATGCTGATATCACATAAACTGAAACTGTTTAAATAATTAAAAAAGAAACGAACAAAAAAGTTACCCAAAATCAGAATTCGTAAATTTACAAATTACCGAAGATTCAGTTGTAGTAGAAAAATTTATTAAATGGGAAAACCAAAATTTAGAAAGTAGGTATAAAACCATACCAGGTGAATAAAAAATTCGTTTCAAAAACGCTGAACATGGACGACAGAAACTAAAACGAAAGCCACAAATTTCAAAAAAAATCGAGAAAATTTTTTTGAAAATTACTATCTGAAAAGGGCTGTACCTAATCTATTATAAAGTTAAATTAAGCAAAATGAACAAATTCAAATTTAGGCCAAATGAACTCATTCTTAACATCATTCCAATTCTCGCTGATAAATATTCAACGTATTGTTTTGTGGCTTTGTGTGCGTAGTTTCACAGCGCTGTTGCATTTTGATTCTCTTATTTATGTGCAGCGCATTATATCTACACTTGAATAATCGCTTTGTTATTTGTGAATTGCAGTTAGGGGGCCAAGGGTGCAATTCTTCTTAACTATTAACCCCGCACCCCCCTCCCCCCCCCCCCCCCCACACACACAGACACACACACAAAACACACAATATTATCTCTCCAGCCCCCACACATTATATTACCCCCCCCCCCCAGATTTCTTGTTCAGAGCCATATCCCCCCAGCCTTCCCCTTTTATTTTATTTTATCCTCGCGCCATTTTACCCTTCTATTTGTCGCCCTTTTTAGCTTTCTGTTTTAATTCATTTGTAATTAATTGATTGGTTATTATTCAATATAACCGTGGCCAAAAAACATCGAAGGTTAATGATTTTGGTTGGTTTGTCTGTCTGTCTATTAATTAATTAATTAAAAATTGTTGGGTGGGTGACTACTGTAGGGGAAGTGTACTACTCTGCCTTAACGCACCCTACCCAACCCTGCCCTGCTTTGGAGGAGGGGAGGGCAAGGTAGCCTAGGCATAATTTTTTTTATTGTTTCATACTTTTTGAATTGAATTATTTCCGAGGCCATGCCCTCAAGGTTATCGGAGACTGATGATTTTTGGGCTCAATTTTAATCGGTTTGTCTGTCAGACTGCCTATTAATTAATTGAAAACTGGTTAATTGGATGACTACTGTACGCACTCTACCCTATCCTAGCGCACCCAACCCTGACCTACCCACCTTAACGTACCCTGTCCTACCCTACCCTAAACTAACCTCGCCTAGCCTACCCTACCCTTGAACCTCAATTCTTGCACCTTAATGACCGAGGTCATACCCCTAAGATATTGATGGCTATTGTTTTTTTGGTTCAATCTAGTCGGTCTGTCAGTCGATTAGTTAATTGAAAACCGTTTCGGGCAGGGTACCACCGTACCCTATACTAATCTAACCTAACCTCCCCTACCTAACTTCGCACAAAGGGGAAGTGTGGGTAGGGTAGTGTAGACTAAGCTAGGCTTAATTTAGGTCATACAGCTCTTTTTTTAATGGAGCGAGATCACTGGTCATTTCTGTTTTTGAGTGCAGACAGCTTCTTCATTAAGTGAAGGTCAACTGTTTCTGTTTTTGACCCAGAATGCTTTTTCAATGTAAATAGTTTTGAGCGCGTTGATTCTGCGGCATTCAATATTGATCAAGGGGTAGACCAAGGGAGGGAAGGATGGTTGAGCAAATCAATTGAAACGAGCTCATTGGTAAATATCTGAGATTTTCAATTGGAGATTTCTGTTGTTGACCCTGAGTATGAACTGCTGTCTGCAGTTACTGCTAATAATAACGCAAATTCGAAAAAAACCAGACTGCCAATTCAAGCAAGGTCATTACAATTTTAGTTCAAAATATAGACTGTCCCTGATATTATATCCTGATCATTCGTCTCAAGCTTTTGTCCAACATAAGTCTCTAATTTGTGATTCTCTAGAAAATTTCATCAGTAGTAAGCACCAAAAGTGGCCTCCAAGATAGTTGTAAAACCATTTTTTGTCGGCTCGAAAAAAATGACTTAAATTACGCAATGAATCTCATGCCACGGACGTCTCATACCACGGAGACACAATAGAAGTCATCCCGTGCCTCATCAAGTGGATCTTTTGCTGTGACATCGAGTAAGTTTCATCAACTAATATTTCCCTGCTTGGATTTTTCAACATTACGGGTTCGAATGGTGCAAATCTTTTTCTAGAGAACAATCGTAAAAGCAAGAAGAAAGCTGTTAAATCGGTGAAGCTGGTGTTGAAAGAAGCGGATTCCTCTGAGGAGGGGTCCATTGCACCAAGAATGCTGCAAGTAACTTCGAGGCATGAGGCAGTGACAGTGGCACAACACGCTTAATCCAGCGAACCACTTAAAGATATAGAGCTGGAAGCAGACCCAGAGGCGGTGACTATAAATCCAGAGGCACAACAGTCTTCCTCGAGCGCACCACTTGAAGACAAAGAGCTGGAGGCAGACCAAAAGGCGACCCAGTGACAGTGAATCCAGATGTACAACAGGATACTTCGAGCACACCACTTGAAGACAGAGAGCTGGAGGCAGACAAAAAGACAGTGAATATGAATCCAGAGGCACGAAAGGCGTTTTTGAGCACACAACTTCAAGACAGAGGGATGGACGCAGAGACGAAACCACCAGTCGTCGCAGTGTCCATTTTTCAACAAGAAAGGGCCAAAAAGCACAAAGTCACAATATCAACAAGATCTAAGTCCAAGAAATCCAAAAAGTCCACGAAAGGGGATAGAGAGGAGGGACAGATGACAGATATCAAATTATTCATTATTCATTGAGTCGTTAATCGTTCTGTTTAATTAATTTATTTGAAGATAATCAAGTTCTTTAAAATTTTTGTATTTAAATTCAACTAAGTTTTTTCATAGAATTGTTTTTGTGTTTCTCAAAGATGTTGGCACAACACGCTTCTTCGACCGCACCACTTGAAGATAGAGAGCTGTAAGCAGACCCAGAGGCAGTGTCTGTAAATCCAGAGGCATAACATTCTTCTCCGAGCGCACCACTTGAAGACAAAGAGCTAGACGCAGACCCAGTGAATCCAGATGTACAACAGGATACTTCGAGCACACCACTTGAAGACAGAGAGCTGGAGGCAGACCAAAAGACAGTGAATATGAATCCAGAGGCACGAAAGGCGTTTTTGAGCACACAACTTCAAGACAGAGGGATGGACGCAGAGACGAAACCACCAGTCGTCGCAGTGTCCATTTTTCAACAAGAAAGGGCCAAAAAGCACAAAGTCACAATATCAACAAGATCTAAGTCCAAGAAATCCAAAAAGTCCACGAAAGAGGATAGAGAGGAGGGACAGATTTCAGATTAGTCAAAATTCATTGAGTCGTTAATCGATCTGTTTATTTAATTTATATGAAGATAATCAAGTTGAATAAAATTTTTGTATTTAAATTCAACTTATTGTTTTCATAGAATTAATTTTGTGTTTCTCAAAGATGTTGGCACAACACGCTTCTTCGAGCGCACCACTTGAAGATAAAAATCTGGAAGCAGACCTAGAGGCAGTGACTGTAAATCCAAAGGCACAACAGTCTTCTTCGAGCGCACCACTTGAAGACAAAGAGCTAGAAGCAGATCCAGAGGCAGTGACAGTGAAACCAGATGTACAACAGGATACTTCGAGCACACCACTTGAAGACAGAGAGCTGGAGGCAGACCAAAAGGCAACGAATATGAATCCAGAGGCACAAAAGGCGTTTTTGAGCACACCCCTTCAAGACAGAGGAATGGACGCAGAGACGAAATCATCAGTCGTCGCAGTGTCCATTTTTCAACAAGAAAGGGCCAAAAAGCACAAAGTCACAATATCAACAAGATCTAAGTCCAAGAAATCCAAAAAGTCCACGAAAGAGG